ATTAATTCTTCACCTTTATCCAAGTTAAATAATTTACATTTTAGTTTATGAACCAAACTAATATATTTAAATTGAACCCATCTAATATATACACCTAGCATAAATTAATTCATTGGCACCATGAAAGTCTTCTTTTTTAAAATGTCATAAACTTGGTGTCAAACAATCTGCATCACTCACATCACACTTAACACACTCCAGCAACATTTTTCTTATAAGCCATTTATTCCTCAAGTAAAAAAGGACAAAAAAAGTTGCATGTTCAGACAAACAAATATAAACATGTCATTGTTGATCAGAGCAATGACATAAAGACAATATGGCTTATCAAGCAAAATTAAATGGACAGAAAGCATTCACTATTGTTGTACTGTTCAAACACATCTGAACTTGAAGGAATGTTGCATCTCTAAACATCATGAAAGAACTAAAATTCCAACAAAAGCACTCCATGAAAGTGACCACCTGAACATGTATAACAAAGTGCTGTGAGGTGGTCTACCTCTTAAATAGATGCCAGTGGCAACTACATGCACACACATTAAGCACACACTTAAATATACACTACTGTGCAGTTTTGAGTTCACCACTGAGTTTGCGAATCTTGGAAGTCATCTTGTTGGAACCAAGCTCCATCAGGATCTTCTGAAGGGCCTCAAAGGTGAACCTGAAACCCTGTGGATACTCCATGTTAAGAGCATAGCAAAGTCCAAAGAGCATTGCCACTCCAGCTGCAAGAGAAGGCAACTCATTGAGGACTTCCACACCATCAATGACAATCCCAACGTCTTGGGGCTGCTGTAGAAGGCTTGAATTCTCTCTGAAGACGAAGACTGCCATGATGGTCCTCTCCAGCTCCTGCTCGGCTTGATCTTTCTGGGAGACCTGAGGCAAAATATACGAAATATGCAACTGAACAACTGCAGTATGGCACACCTCATTAATCACTATATACTGTATAATGGCATAGGTGACACATTGTTTGACACATAGGTGACACATTGCAGACACATTGTGCAACGGACGAAGCTCTCCAAGCACTTCTTCTTCTTCTTCTTCTTCTTTTATGTTTAATGGCGGTTGGCAAACAACTTATAGGTGCATTACCGCCACCTTCCAGACTGGAGTATAGATTAGATGTCCTATCACTATATTCTCCCCATAATGCCTGACATCTTGAGAAACCTAAAAATGCTGTTAAAAATTATATTTTCAGAAGATCTTTGCAGCAAATTTTTAACATCTAAATTGATTTTATTACTGTTCATCTCTCTAATTAACAACTCTCTTTCCCGGCTGTATTTACTACATTCTAGAAGAATATGCTGCACCGTTTCTGACTCTCCACAAAAATTACACAAACCTGTACTATGTTTATTAATTATTTTCAGCGTACTATTCAGCCCCGTATGCCCAAATCTTAGTCTAGATATAATATCCTCTTCTCTTCTATTTCTACCCAAGCACTTCTCCCCAACGTCTTCTCACGTGACTCAGATTGAAAATATGACATCATTTCCTTTCAGCATGTTTTGAGAGGAACCAAAATATTTGCTTTCTTCCCATCAAAAGTGTTATTGATTCAGTCTGAATCAAAATTGAAACCTCAGAATGCAAAAAAAAAGACTTTCACAACCAAGTCAATTATTGTACATTGTATTCAATAATAGTTTTTAGCTTGAATGAACAACTCTGTGCAAAACTTTTTCCAGTGTAGTCATTCAGACCAGTCACTGTAGAGCTCTTTGGGACTGGGATGATGGTGGCAGTCTTCAGGAAGGTGGGAACTGTTGCCAGGGTAAGTGAGGAGTTAAAGATGTTGGCCAGCACCTCGCAGAGCTGATCGGCACAGTCTTTCAGGGCCTTTCCGGGGATGTTGTCTGGGCCGGTTGCTTTGTGAGGATTAATCCTCCTGAAAGTACTCCTTACTTCTACTGAGGTCATACTGAGAAGCTCATCTTCTGGTGGTGATGTAGTGAACTAGGCCTGAAGGTCAAAACCTTGACCTAAGGACCATTGGGACAGAACTTGTCATTTCATTGATTTGCATCCAGAAATACAGGTTGACCCATCCTGAGACTTTCTTTCTTGAATCAATCAAGTAAAAAAGGACTATTCTCTATTATCATTACTATTTTACAAATGTTTGATAATCAAATTGTGTTTTAGTTCAAACCATTTTTAAATGTTGAAGTGAACTAATCATTTAAATCAACTGTGAAACAGTAATAATGATTCTTAATCCTCATTCAAAGAAGAAATCAGGTTAATATGCATTTCTTGATTTTCTGTCTTCAATGAGCGAAGTTGTAAGTGTGTCGAAGTTCAAGTTTCGGTCAACTGAAAGTTTACTGAAAAGAAATGTCATGTTTAACTTTTACAGCAAGATACTGGAAGAGGTGACTCCACGAAGTCTGGTTCCTTCATAATATCTTTCTGTCTGTTCTTAAACAATCTTAATCTTTTTCCTTGACTTTTCATAACACCTTACATCACAAAACACACCTCTGTTTTGGTCCATCGACCAATCAGAAAGTCCTCAAATGAACCGGAAGTAGAGCCCTTTAAATGTTGGCACTTCCTAGTTCAACCAGAGAGTTTGCAGTTCCAGAGTTCAGGTTGACTGGAATTCAGGATGCCATTTCAGCTATCTGTAGCATTTAGCCTGAACAAGTCCGTCAACTTTTCGTCTTTTAAACTGTCAAAATGTACTATTTTCTGTTAAAAATGTAACGAATCAACTCTGAGCTTTAACGGAGTCGGCGCTCCGTGGCAAAACGTCTTTTAAACCATTTAAAACAAACTCGTTCGAACTTCTCAGAACCGGACCCAAACCGGGTCTGCAACAGAAACTCCGTCCTTTTAAACAGAATAAACGCTTTCCACAGCTCATCAG